GATATTAGTCAAAGCAACATCCTTAGATACATTTTCATGTGGAACTAATTAGATAAATATCAAAATTTTCATGGACTTTCGATACCTCTAGTAAAATCTCTTGTGAGAAAAGACGGAGAAGAAGAAGAAGAAAAAGAAGACGAGCAATATGTGATAAGAAAATTTCAGAAACAAAGGTTACAAGATACAAGCATTTTTCATCTTTTTTTTTTTCTGTCCAATGCGACAATGCTTGAAAAATTGGTCAGGTCAAGTCAATTTCAATTAGTCGGATTGGGAATCAAGAATTGCAATGTCGATTAGGATTTAATTGTATGGTAATACATCAAAGGTGTCATAGAGAGGCGATCGTAGTTGGTTCAGTGCTGCTGGTGGATTCAATGGTATCGATCAGTGGGATTATTAACATACTCGAAGCTTGCTTTTATGATGTGATAGATTAGGATGTATGTGTTAGAATAATCATATCAATGACCTCAAACTTATCGTCCACAGCGATAGCGAAATGATTAGTGATGAGACTAGTAGCCATGGAGAATTCCAAGTAGAGCTCAACGTGTGTGTGTGTGTGTGTGTCAATCTTCTTCGACTTGTGTGTATGCATTAAATTGAATGTTGCCGAGTTCATATTTGAGAGCATTCATTCAATAATAGAATATTTTAGTTAGAAGTTTATAGTCTCATTTTATTATTGATAATTTTTTAAAAATATAATAACATATTATTTTTCTACCGTCCTATTATAATCAATTTTATCCTTTCCTCTTATTTCATCTTTATCATCGTTCATCACTATGGTCGACACTAAAGACTCTGCTCGTCTCGCTCTTAATGTTATCCTTCGAGAAGGAAAAAAATAAAAGAAAAATACGATCAGTGGTTTTATTTTATCATTATTAGTTAATCTTTAGTTAAATTATGAGAAATTAAAATTAAAAAATCACTTAAAATGGTTGGAATTAAAACTCCAAAATGGGAATTGATTTGGGTGCATTAATGAATCAAAGAGATGGGATACACTACCAACATTTTTCTTAAATTTTTTGTTCTTTTAAATTAAATTCATTAGTTAGTCCATATCTAACACGAGATGATGGCATGATGTCACACACACATCAAAATAAATGCCGATATAACAAAATGTTACTATATGTGTGCCTTTGAACAATTTGGTTATTGATGTAGGACAAGATTCGTGAAATATTGAAAAAGATAAGTTTTTCTTTGGATTATATGAGTGCATGTGCAATTGCTTAGAATATCAACATTAATATGTCGAGGAAATAAAAATAAAAAAGATGAATGAGTATTTAAAGGAAAACAAAAAACACATGTCGAGTCAAAGATCAATACCTAAATTTGGAGCTTGCAATAAATAAAGTTGACCAAAGACTTGTAACTTAGTAGTTTGTGTCAACAAATGAAATTGATGTACCAAGAATCTATCTCGATATAAGAAGAATAACAATTAAGACAACACAATAACAATCAAGTATGTCAAAATAAGGGACCCTATATGATTTCAAAGATGAGGTGTTGTGGTCCACTTGTCTTGATGATGATGAAAACCTAATGTATTCATTTGGTCCCTCCATCGTTTTAATCTAAGGAGGTGGACTGACTTCATATGGAGTACGACTAGACTCCAATAAAAAAAATAATTTTTTTTTTTACTTTTTCGATTTAACACTAATTCTCTATGGATAATAAAACTATACAAAACTACTCGATTTAAGATAAATTCTAAGTGTCCTTTAATTTGATTTCGACTAGATTCATTTACGAGAAAATACTTATAAAGTTATTTGATGTCTTATCCATCATCATTCTTATCGAACCCTAAATGAAAATAAAAAGAGAAAACAATATGAATATGGGTGATTGAAGTCTTACTCGATGGACACAATCGGATAGATAACTTGACATCCCAAGTGCATGGTAGGAGGGGTTCCACTCGAGTGGTGTAATGTCTTTGCAAGCACTCGATGAGTGACTATCATAGACAAAAATGTTGTCTCCACCACCAATTCACTAACTTTACATAAGTTGATGCAGCCATCAATGGGGTGTCCTATGTTACCCATTTCTCAAGTAGTGGGATCCCCTATTGGAATGTCCACTGATCCCACGTCCATTACGATGTCATGTGGTGTCCAATTCTATATCGAAGATGGATAGAAATATACACAAACAATGTACTTTTGTATCTTAGTATTATATAATGTTTACACATATCATTTAAATAGCGTCCAACATCACCTCAATTTAAAAGAAATTATCATGAACTTTTCTAGCGTCATCACTTCTTCATAATATATGGACATGATGTTGTGCACCACAGCTAGAGAGAGAGAGAGAGAGAGGTCGGGCTCTATAATATGAGCATTTGTCTTTGGTGAGGAAAACAATGTCACAACTCTGTGAAAAATAATATCACATGGAGGTCTATAAAGATATATTAATTAACATGGTGCATGTAGTATTGATCAACCCTAGAGATGATGGCCTTAGAGAAAGCTTGAAACATAACTCCAACATGCATAGAGTAGAAGTCACGCATGATTAGAAGAACACAAAGTCAATCGAAAATAGCTATAGATATAAAGCAACGGGCCTTTGTCATGCATGATTCCTCGATATCTAAGCAAACACAATTGACCAATTGTTCTCGACTTGCATAGGAATTAGTTCTTAATCTAACACTCCTCTCTCTCTCTCTCTATCTATCTATCTATCTATCTCCCTGCACTTGTCATATCTCAAATCTTCTGAAGTGAGTTATGGGAAAAATGCCTTCCCTCTCCATGCATTTGATTGGGCTAGACACGGTCACATAGGTTTAGTTTTGGTGAGTTTATGGGCTTGGGCCTGATGGCTTTTGCAATTTTTTTGTTATGGGCCAATTTTATTTCGTCGGAAAAAAAATTGATTTATAAGAATCCGACGAATAATGAATGTATTATTATTAACTCGGATTTATGATATGGAACTATCATTAAGATTTATGATGAGTGTGAGACAGTGTGTACTATATTAAGATTATGTTAGCTTTTTTATAAGATATCAATACTATCTTAAGAGAGGAAGAGTATGAATACTCTGAATTAGTCTAAGAAAATAAATTGATTTAGTTCTCTTGCATCAGTGGTTATGAATACAATGTAATCAGATTTGCTGCTTATGCCTCTGCCTCCGGTGCAGTTTGTTCTTACTGTAACTAAAAGAAAGCTGAAAGCTCATCTGATTACAACTATGGTTGCCGCAGAAATGATTTCAGAACTGTCATGAGAGCTTCGATGATATGATCATGAGAGTGTCTCTGAAATCCTCTGTCGATGATATGATCTTGTTACATCAAAATGTGGATTCTCTCTTGAGTAGAGAATATAGATAGGTTTACGTCCATGTAGCTTGATCTTGCTCGACCCACCACCAGCAAAGAATGCCTTTGCCTTTGTCCACAAGTGCAGAGATCCTCTGTCTATGATCCCTACTACCGGCATAGGTAATCCAAGTGCCCGACAACATGGAACCAAATTGGCACTGCTGCCGCTCCGTCAGCCAGATTAGAATCTGTGGCAGGTGATGGGCCACTCCACAATTATTAGTGTTCTTTAGCTTTCTTCTCTCATCAGCTGCAAAAAGGCCTCACGCTAGGAGAGAGTCGGAGATCTCCCCTGGATCTCAAGTGCTTGTCTGTGATGAAAGATGCTCCCTTTGCTGGATCGCATGCCGGAGCTAAATCTCAGATGGTGCAGAGCAAGAAGAGGCAAGCTCGCCATAACATGGTGGCCAAGGTTTAAGCGAATTCTGGGTTGGACAGTGGAGATGAACTCGACAAAGCTTCAGAACGGATTGGTCAACATAATATTATAGAGTCGGAGAGAAGACATCACGATTTACTTGGATCTGCTACAGAGCAAATTATTCGAACAGAGATAGAGAGAGAGAGAGAGAGGTCTTTCCAAGTCCAAACCACAACCACAATATCGACAGAATTGTCTCATGATCATCGTGTTTATTGGGCTTGTCGTCACCAAATGTCCTTCCCTATCCATTGAACGATTCTTCCTGTGCTTGATTGATGAAAGGTGGCCGAGAATATGCTGGCTCGTCGAAGGACGACAGCGACGTGCGTGTAATAGTTTTCTCTCAACGTGGCTCCACCTGCCTCGTCCAGGCCAATGCAACACTGTGGTAATGAGTCGAGAACAAGAGCTTTTTGTATGCATGCACTGCCGCGTTCAAACGTTAGGTGTTACCTCTGTTAATGTTAAGAATGGAATCTAATGTGTGTGTGTGTGTGTGTGTGTGTGTGTGCGCGAGAAAGAGAGAGAGAGAGAGAGAGAGAGGAGGAGGAGGAGGAGGAGGATACTACGTCATGAGTCGGTATGATACGTCTAAAAATTCATCAAATTGTAGAAGAATATGGATCCCAAAAAGCTCAGCTGAAGTGGGAATGGATGCTAATATGCTTCACTGTGGTACTCATCAACTTAAGTAATACATACGCATGCCAGTGCTGGCGAGCTCTGGCGATCAAACTGACTCCAGTAATGTGTCGGAAAAATGCCTCAGCACATTAACCAGAGGTTTATTCTCGGAATTTAGTCTGATGAATGGGCCAAAAAGATGCTACAATGACAGGAGATTATTCCACTCTTCTTTTCTACTAGTAAAAAGCAAGGCAAGGGAATCATCTATAGAGAGCATGTGAATGATGCATCATCTATCTACGAAAGCTCCTCCATATATACATATTACATATAATTGTTATTCCATTTTCATGGCTGAGAAATGTATGAGAAAGGTGAGCGAGTGATGGGGAAAGAAAAGACGGGGAAATGGACGATAGATAAAGCTGGTGTGATTCTGGCTGCAGCAGCGAGTGGTGGGAGGGCCCCGCGCAGCTAAAGGTTCCACCCGGAGAGTGAGAGACAGAAGGCAACCCTGCTTTCTCCTACTACAAATACCACCTCTCCCCCCGCCATTCCTCATCAGCAGGGCTGCCTCTGACAAGCCACAAGCCAACCAAACCCATCCTCTCTCTCTCTCACTCTCTCTCTCTCTCTCTGAGAAGAGAAGGTGAGGGTGGTCGACAAGAGAGAAAGAGAGGAAATTACATGGCACCTCCTTGTTTGAGGTAACCACAGCTTTACCGACTTCTCTTCATTTCGTAGAACTAAACTACCTCACCTCCTTTCTGCTCTGCTGGTATATGATCTGTGAGCTTCGGCTCGACTATCCTCAGAATCCTCATTGCTTTTCTGATCAAGGTCCGAACTTGAGATGTCGGTGGCTTTGCTGCAAACGCCCTTCCGACTGGAGAAGTGCGACCTCGCTAAGGATGATCCTGTGATGGCCCTGCACGATGAAGAGGACCTGCCCGGGCAATTCGACGTATGGAGCGCCATCCAGGCGCAGAAAGCTGCCAATCCGGTCGCCGCTGATGCACCAGCTCCTTATGTTCATCCTCTTGTGAGGCGGTCCTCCAGTTCGCTGAGCCAGAAGAGCCTCGAGATATGCACGGAGAGCCTTGGATCGGAGACCGGCTCTGATGACTTCTCTTCGTTCCTCGATGAGCTTGACCACGATTACTCGCTAGATATTGGAGCGGAGAAAGAAGAAGCGAATCATGACATGCATGACAAGCTGGTAGTCATGGAAGAAGGAGGAGTGTGGTTTAGGAAGAAGGAAACAGAGGAGGTCCAAGTGCGGCTACGCAAAGGGAAGGAGCTCACATCAGTGAACTATCATTGCTCCGTCAGCAGACAGTCGCATCTGAGGTCGTTCCCTCCGCCGCTGCCGTCCATCTCCCGCCGCGACGGGGTGCCGTGCCTGCACATGAGGCCTCATCGCCGTGAAGGCCGGCTTCTCGTTGAGGCTGTCCCTGTACCTTCACAGAACTACTTCCACGCCCAGCGCGGGGACGGCCGCCTCCTCCTCTCCTTCATCGACGCCACCTTCGACGATCCAGAAGCCTCCTCCGACAACATACAAATCAACGAAGAATCAAATGGAATCGAAGTAGAAGAGATCGAACGGTCAGCAGAGGAAGAAGAAGTGGAAGAGAAGAACTGCTGCGCCGAAGACGAAGACGAGGAGGAGGAAGAAGAAGAAGAGGAAGTGGAAGTAGTCGACAGGGGAGCCGTCATCGAGGTAAAAGTGAGCACACAACCCCAGCAACAGACCGGCGGTGCCATGAAGGTCCTCCGCTCTTCCCTCGTCATCAACAAATTCGTCGGCATCACGCCACAGAGAAGCAACACCACGTGCGGGCTGCCGCCGGAAAGCGATGAAGCAAGCAAAACCGATCTCAACAACGCCGGCAAACTGCAGGCTACCACAGCAGCTCCAATCGTACGTCGACCCCCGCCAACAACCACCACGGCAGCAGCTGCAGTGGCGGTAGCCTCCACCCTCAGTGCCTCGGCCGAAGCTTACAGTGACGAAACGAGGTTGCCGATCGGCAACGACGGACACCTGCCACCGGACAACAAGCTGCTGTTCACGTCCAAGCGTCGGAACCGGGAGGAGCTGCTGCACAGCATGAGGAGATGCAGTCAGCTGCGCAGGCCATTGTTCATCAGGGAACCCTGTTGCATTGCCACTTCCTCCTGAGCCACAGCCTCCCATGGATCATTCTACCTCACTGATACTACCTATTTATCTACCTATATCTCTACCTATCCACGTCGATATTATAGTCATTAACATACTAAGGTCGCCCAACAATTAAGTGTCAAAAGCCTCACTGTTTGGCTCCCTTTGCATCAGCAGGTCAGTCTGCTGCTTTTGGACTGCCAATGTCCCTGTTTTTCCCACTCAGTGCTGGCACATCGACACCGTGATAATGGACAACTTGATATCATTGTTATTAGAATTTTGTTTGTTCCATGCTGTCTCTCACTGTGTTGGGAAATAATCCTGCTCAAATGTCTTAGCTTTTCTGTCTGCTAACACAGATTCGACAACGATGTGGTTTCCTGCATGGTTCAAAGAGAAGAGAAACTTACTGCATCAGTGATTTACATCTGCATGGTTCGAACAGAGACAATCTTTTAGTTGTTTCTGCCTTCATGCAGGCTCATGCGACCAATCTCCATATGAAACATCTCGGCCATGCAGTCATGGCTGCAGTACGTCCATGTCATGAGTTTTTCTACCTTCTTTATCTACTAAGACAGCACAATGAAAACAACGATTTCTCGAATAGTTATTACTGCATTGCAGAGAAAAATACTAGAGCTAAATGATACCTACGATTAACAAATGACGGAAAGGAGATAGTACTTTAATCAGAGCATCGAGGCAAAAGTTTCAGCAATTGTGTTCATATGTATGGATGTCATGACACACAGCAGAGATTCTATGAGATCAGTGGTATGACTTCTTGCAATCCGTTGTCGAAACTTGCATTGTGAAGACCGATATCAGTTGTCAAACGATACCCGCGATTAAGCTAATGATCAAAAGCAAATGAGTACTTTTGTGTTGAAGCATCTACAGAAGGTAAAAGACATAACAGAGGCCTTTCATGCGTTCTGCTCACAGAAGTTTATTCTTCTGTGAGTCGAATGTTCTCTCTATCAAGACTAGTAATGCAACAGGAACATGGACCACAGTCTATGATGAAAGATAAGCTAAATAAGAGCCACGAAGTATGGGTGAATACATGTATTGTTTGAAAGATGGAGAACAGGGCAAGTACAAAGATTGCTTGAGGCAGAAGCAATTAAAGCAGGGAATTGGATGTTGACCTACTGGTCTTATCAGGGGGGAGGGGTGGTGGAGGAAGAGAGAGGAGCGTGGAAATCTGAGAGGCGTTGGATTAGCATAACATCCATTACCGCACAACGTTAAACAGAGCAAAGACAAAGCTAAAAGGCAAAAGAAAAGATGAAGAACCCAATGCTTCCTCCCATGGTAAAGCAAGCTTTGCAATTACTCCAATATCCCACCAGCGAGTCCCCCATTGCTTCTCCCCCAGCTGTGAAATGTGTGCATGATACACGTTTGGAAAGTAGCACCCAGTGGACACGGGGAATCTGGTTCATCTCTTGTAGGTCTCACGCACTTGTTTGCTTGTGCCGTAGTGGCTGGCACAGGATCTTGCAGACGTGCGATCTCTGAGATGGGTCAATGGAAGCGTTTACAGCAGGCCCTTTGGAGTAGATCTGGGCCGTTCGTAGGCCCAATTATCTCTCCTATACGAGCATGGAAAAGTCTTCCATCGCAGACTAGTTTTGCATGCATATTCCCAACCTCTGTCCACGGTGGGAGAAACAGCAACAGTTTCTTTGGATCAAAGCCGCCGGTGTAGTCCCCACAGCCATTGTTGATGTGTCACCTCTCTTCAGTGTCTTGTTTGTTTGCCTGCGGTAGATATCCTGTCTTATATGGTCTGTCGCCAACCATCGTCGTCTTCCGCGAGAAGAGGAAGAAAGGCAACCAGCTTGGACAGATCTCCGTTAATGAGGGGATGCATGGTGATGACGACGATCACGTACTGTATATGTCGGCACTAAGAGTGCAGGTTTGGGCTTTGTAGTAGTGCCATTCAACCAACCGGGATAAACTCCATTAATGGGAATGATGATGATTAAGATTTATAATCAAACCATTTAAGTTTGATTTCATTTTAGAATGAAATCGATGGACTATCGAACTGATTTGATTCCGATTAAAATTCAAGACTATCTACGAGCAGCAGTGCGGATGGTCTGCATCGTAGACAATGGACGACAAGTGCTTGAGTTAATCATCCAAGCTTTATAATGGAGGTGCGCCATTATAATATGGACAATGATGCAAGACCCCAAGTCACCTCAAGGTGAAGAGCAAGTCAACTTTCATGTTGTTGTTATCGAAGTGGTGAACACCTTTATTACTAATGGTGGACTCGTTCTCCCACGAGCAGGAGGCCTATGGCGACATTTCTTCGTAAGGCGGCTTGGCCACTATGTGCAATAATGCCTCTTGAAAGCCACACCAATTTCCTGGTAATCTCATCTGTAGATCTGCAATCCATTTTAATATAAATCGTTTGGATGTTAGCTTGGAACGATAACACATATTCTCTATTTTCTTTAGTGTAGATGCACATGATCTGTTTGCTAAAATGGATGTACTGTTTGTTCTGTGTCGGCCTCACATGAAGCACAGGTGACCTAAATGACATGATCATCATCGATGCCATTTGCCCTCAAAAGTTCGATGCCCAACTTGGCTAAGATGTGAATGAGTGGGAAAAAGGAGTCAAATTTCGTCTATAAGTAGGAGCCTCATAATTCCTCCACTTCACTGCAACACCCGCTTCTTCTTGTCCAAGATGAAGCCCTCCTCGGTCGTGTTCTTTTGCATGATCTCTGCGCTTCTCCTGCTCCGAACTCCGACCGCGGTGGAGTCGGTGACATGCGACCCGACGTTGCTGAACCCCTGTGCGGCAGCCTTCCTGTTCTCTACGCGGCCCAGCAGCCTGTGCTGCTCCAGGATCAAATCTCAGGTCCCTTGCTACTGCCAGTACTTGAACGACCCCAGCTTGAGTGGGTATATCAGCGGCGGGAAGAAGGTCGCCGCTGCTTGTGGAGTATCACTTCCAAGCTGCTGATACCGTTCCTACCATCAAACAAACATCTCATGTCCATGTATCTATATATCTATCCATCTATCTTATATATTATTAGCAGTCGCTATTTGGTTGCCCTCCACTGCAGCAAGTTGCAGGTCTCTAAAGTGTGAACGTCGAAATATGCTGCTTGTATGTCTTTCTACTTGAATCAACAAATAAGGAGCTGTTGCTTAGTCTCCTCTGCATTAATGATCAGTTGAACGACGTGAGCCTTGACGTTAAAAGATAAGTTAAATCTGGGCATCACAATCTCCCAGCTTGACGTCCTCGTTAAGCCGCTCTTCATGGGATTGTTGTCGTCTTGTCCCAAGAATAGTAGGACCAGGTCCGACGAACACATCATCTCTCTCGTTCTTTCTTCTTTCTGGTTTCTTTCCTCTGGCACGATGTTGACAAGTCTCGCTCTCAGCTGAAGTAGGGAAGAAATTTCCCCGTTGCCGTGTTTAATTGATTGCATCCATCTCAAAATTCAACGCCGTGGAGCTCCGACTAGCTGGCGCAAAGGCAGCACCTTTAGCCGCCACCGCCCCAGTCAACCCCGGTGGTGGACAGGCATGGCCGACCGAATCGAGTGCTCGATACGGTGGGGCATAAATCCTTTGACTGGGTCACCGCATTGGAGTGATAATAGAGTAGAGTAGAAAATATAATTTTAAACTAAATTCATATTAAATATCACAATTTACAATCATATATATCTCTATAAATTCAAAACTTTGATTATAAGCATGCAAATTCTTATCTTGACTTAAACTTCTAAACCAAAATCACATCTCTTTTGATTTAATATTTCAACAACAAATCTTTATCACAGATTACTAGTTACATTTAATTAAAAAAAAAGTTGGATAGCTAAATTGAAGTAAATCGATATGAAAGCTAAAAGATCTGTTAAAGTACATATCCGTTTATCATAAACATATCCGAATGTACAATAATGTATAGAGGGTATTGAGAATTGATATATTGAAATATATCAGTTTCACAATCGAAGTGGATAAGATTAAAATCGATTTATAAAAGTATGAATGTACCACTATTACTTTCAACTTAAATATTTTAATTAATAATTTAGATCAAAGAAAATTAATATATCAGTTAGCTCATCAGACCAGGGTCGAACGAAGTTACCAACTGGATTGGACATCTATCTTCGTTATTGGAACAAAATGATGCAAAGCCACAAAAAAAAAAAACGTAAAAGAATAAAATAATTTGGATACGCCTACATTGCATGCAAATAAGGCACCGACTGATACATAGTTCATGTCACTGCCATATGCACTCATAGAGCTTACTTCAATTCCTGGAATGTTACGATGACTCTTAGTATGTTGTTGACTGCACATCAGAAAAGTTGAAAGGACCAACGCCGTCGTCGCCAAAGTCACACACGAATGTTCCAACCTCGTCTTGATCCGTGTACAGATCAGGTTCTACAGTACCTCGTGGCATCTGCACATCTGCTAAGAGGATAAAGCTGTCAGATCAATCGCAGCTAGAAACCAATCCAAGTAAACAGATCACAATCGGTAGTTCTCTTTGCGTACTAATTTGATGTAGAGGAAGATTAGTATTAGGCAGCAATCCGTGGAACTCTTCCAAATGACCCCAATTTTCGTATGCTTCTCGAGCTAGTTGATGAACATGGTCCTGCGGAGTAGATAAGAGACGATGAGTTTGCATTGTGGAGCAACATCGGGTAAGTTGAGTTCTTACTCTGTCAGCTCTGTTAACCAGATCCTGTAGGGTGTATCTATTAGCGCCGGCAATGATGTTCACAACCTGGCAAACTGAGTTCAGGACGAGAGCATATCGCCGGCCGTGGTGGATGTAGAGTTTGTCGCCGACGACGCAGGTCTTCGCGTGATTGATGGTCGCCTCCCACTTCCGATCCGACATTCCTTGTCCCAGTATCTGATGCACAAGGAAGAGTCTTACAAGATCACTGAACGCTTACTGCTTTAGATAAGATCACCGAATGTGTTCAAGCTTCACCTGTCGAAGGCTCTGTGGGTTGACAAACCACAGCTTCAAGAAGTCTTGGACGGTGTTAATGTTGGCATCTGCCAGCTTCTTGTGGAATTTACCGTCCTTGGCGATCTTCTCCAGCCGCCATACCTCATCTTCTAGGGCTGGTGGATAATGCTTTCTGTATGCTGCACAAATTATTTTTATTTGTTGGTTCATAAATTCTATATCTTGATCAAACTAGAGATTTGGTTGAATAGACATAAAAGAATTCATTGTTACATGGAATCATCTTAGCGGCGAGAAGATGGTTCATCTGATGAAACTAGCTGAAGAAAATTAACTAAAACAGAGGAGAGGATACCAAACTTACATTCACCTCTGTGATCTTTGACCTTGAAAGGTTCGGTCATGGCTTCTCTGATCCTTGGTCCGCGGTAGCTTCCTGGCACAACCCTGGCACCTATCTTGAACATTCCACTCTTTCCCCAGCTCGAGTTATCGGTGAAATATAGCTCGGATACGAACGCAGCTCCATCTCTAAGCATCACGGTGACATCTCCGATGAGCAGTGGCCTCTTCCCGGTTCTTTCTTTCACAATCTGGCTATTGAACTCGTCGCTGGTCCAATCCTCCTGATCCCCGGCAGGGAAATCTCCCTGCAGTGCTACTAGTTCAACTCTGAGAGGGTGTAAATGTATCAAGGATGGAGGAGCTTCCAAAGTATTAGTGGCTACAAGGAGGATTTGGAGTGGTGTGTTGTCAAAGCCGTCGATTTTGGTCCCAGTGAAGATGGGCTGTGATAGCGGCTTTTGGAAGATGAGTTTGAAGCTTGATGGCTCTGCTGGTTCAACTTGCAGTTGGAGCGACCTGCAAAAGATCAAACAGTACTTTTGTATCTTAGGATGTCTTCATACGTTCCATGGAAGCATATCATAATCGAAACAAGCAGCTGCAGCAATTACCTTTGATAGGTACTGTGAAGCAGTATTCTTTCCACTTCCTCTTGCACCTGATAAGATACATCCGGTTTCATTTAAATATAGGTATCCAGGAATAATTAAAATGCAGCTGCCATAAGCTAACCTACTCATTTGTCACACTATAATCTTTTTTTTTTGCATGCTTGTTGATGAATAGTATAAGCGAATGGCAGTGAACTGGAGACATGCAGTCTGCTTAAAGCTATAAAGAAAGAAGACGACGAACGAGTCTTGGCTAGCATAGTCGAGCAATACGAGATGCTTCCATGACATGGGAATGCTTTGTTAGAGATTTCGTCGTACCACTTTGCGAAACAATGGCTCCAAGGACGAAAGTATGCTCTGCTGTTTGCTCACCATCATAGCTTCCTTTATCACCCTGTCAAAGGGAGAGGATGAAGGTGAGCAAGATAGATATTTTTTTCGTTAAACATCGAACAGCATCATCTTTTTGAAGGGAATTAGTGGTACTGCACTACAATGTTCGGAAGAACATCTCATCTAAGTAATACAAAATCTTTCTCGAGGAAGATAAAGGAAACACGAATAAGATGATCATGGTAGGTAGGAAGAGATGGAATCGAGAAACGGAGGTATTAGGATTACGAACGTCGCAAATGAAGGTCGGCGCTTGATCCTTTTATCACCGAGCCGATCCGAGTTTTCGTCGGAGTCACCCCGAGGCCTTTTAGCGGCCATGATCTCGGTGAGGAGAGGAAGAACAAACTGAGTAAAAGATATGGGAAGGGTGGCAGACTCAAAGGCCTCGCAGGTACAATGAAGGACTACGGAAGCAGTAGAGAGGGCGACCGAGGTTTATACTGCGATGGCAATGAGCCAGAAAGTCCCAAGAAGTAGGTTGGAAGGTGGAAGGATGGCTTGAGGAAGACGACCTCCAAGCCTAGTTATTCATTGATGTAGTCTCTTTGATGTCACCATCTGCCAAGTCAGCTGCCGTCATCTGTCTCTCACGCGCAGATGAGGTCCGAGCACCACCCTTTCGGTAAGCTCACCGCCTGTTGGCTGTTGCATGAGGAGTTTCCTCTCTCTGCCATCGGTTGACTGTTGCATGAAAACCTAAGACTAAGATCGTGCTGCTGCTGAGCAATTCAACAGTTTGGGAGTTCCAATACAGAAAATATGTTATATACAAAATGTGCTTTGATTCTTTGCACGATGACTTGTTGTAGTCTGATGTATTCCTGCTTCCAGGCATTTCAATGCAAGTTCGGGTGTATGATTCCAGCGGTGAGCAGACCCACGCAACGCGAGGACCATCAACCATGCAGTGAGCAGCAATTCACGGGTCGTTGGCTCCGTGCTCTTGAGAGCTCCGATCCATGTGATATGTTCTACCATAACGCTTAAACTAAGACATCGAGTACTGTCTTCTGCACCACCCCATCATTTTTTTACTCTCAAGAACTTGACGACCGATGAAGAGAGGACCTCAAGATTGCTAGATTTGACCCCTTCAAACAGACTTGAAGGACGCAGGATGATATAAAGAAAGGCTTGGAACCTCTTGTACTTGAAGTAGTTGATGCTTGTTGCATTATAGGAAAAGATTCTGTTCTCAGATGATACCATCAAAAGGTTCTATTCTTCATGGCAAATGGTACTGCCTTTAGTTTCTGATATGAGCACTAACACCAGCAGAGAGTTTTAGGTCATAGTGTGTTTCTGAGATGGAACCAATTGCCTGGCGTTTGAAGCTTACAGTCTCTCTCTTCCGATATGTGCGTATGTGACATGAACATTGATGGCAAACAAAAGGTCGTGTTCTGTGATCTGCATCTAATTCTTTCATTAAGAGACTGTTGGACCATTCAAACTGGTGTTTGAAAGATTCAACCTTCTTAAGCGGAAGGTTGATCAAATTCTTGGTGACCATGTTTGTCTGAAGGATTCGGTCAAGTCACCGATTCCTTTAGTGTCCTATCATTATATATTTGTGAACAATTCAGAGCTGTTAGTCACCAGCTCTTGCCTGGCACATTAGGGTTTAGCCTTAAGCTTCATGCACTGATCATTGAAGGCCATGTCATAGCACTCCTGGCAGTAAACAATCATCATCAGATGACTTCAAATTCTTGATTGGAGATTCACATGTGTTTCTGACTTGAAATCACATCTATCTCGCTGCATTGCCCACTCCCTCCAGTTGACCAATTCAGAGTGTTGGATGTCCTGGCTATGATGACTTCTCTGATTCAAGTAATCAACTCCACTGGTCTAAGAAGCTGACTTTGAATTACATCAAGTCTCCAGTTAAAGTGGACTGATGCATATGATATTGTAGTAGATGCCTACGAGTAGTCTGCAAAGAAATGGTCTTCGATTCAACTATCACCTCCGTTGCAGTTTGTCTGTGACATTGCACTTTGCAGGTATGCTGAAAGGGAAGAGAACGGTGCAATCAAACAAGTTGATGGCTCCTTTGATGCTTACTGAGGTTATCCATTATTGTTTGCTATTCACAAGCTAAATGTATTAACTTCTCACTCGACCCATGCATGGACGTCATGATATAGACACAAAGAATACACAAGGAATCCACTTTCACGCATGTCGAGTTCTCTACAGCAAGTTAAACGAGAATTTGTCTGTGTTTGTCCTTTACGTATCTACACTGGAACATAATGAGCGTCCAAGATGCTTATCATGCACACATCACATGCTAAAGTTGTGCATCATCTAAGACAGTTCCATATATGAAAAGAAAAAGGCTATATGCTTTACAAACTAGTAATCGCCAAAAGCATCGTCCACGTTGCACATATTTGTTGAAGATAGAACAGTAGAGTTGTGAGTCCTGACATGATAGGAAGGACATAAAGCAAAGGGGAGATTGAAGCTACTTAAACACTGTTACAATGGTTTCTCACATCTGCAAGTAATTAACTTGATCAGGTGCACTATGCTAGCCCAAGGGGAATGCAGGAGCTCAATTAATAAATAAGGACATGACTGATATCTGAAAGGGTCACTTCAAGCGCTTTGTGCGGGGAAGATGTACAAGAGAAAACTGACCATGGTGGGTCTCAAGAGCAAGTAGATGAGAAAGAGAGAGAGAGAGAGAGAGAGAGAGAGAGAGAGAGAGAGTTCAGATGTCAGATCATGGCCCTAAATATCAACCCTTATTTATCTCATGGCAAGATGCTAATGCCATCAAATATCATCATTATCATGTTGGACCTGCCCTTCTTGTCTTGACACTTTATATATATATATATATATATATATGTTATTGTTAAGAAAAATTAGACAATTAAAAACGAGAGAGATAGATAGAGAGAGAGAGAGAGAGAGAATTAAGTCTCTCTCGTGTGAAAATAGAGATATAATCTTTAGGATTTGTGAGATATGAGAGGTTATGTTGTAACACCATTTTAAAGATGTCAATGAAGGAGGAGATTATTTGGGTTATGAAGATAAAGAGATGATAGTATAAATGTGCCATCAAATATGAGTTCTATAACTCCATAAATAGATAAGATGTCTCTTGATAAAAATTTTCATTTGCCTCTTCCACAATTTCCTGCCATGCACTTATCCTCTTGACTTCTCTTTTCTTTCTTATTAGAGGGAATAAATAATATCAATAAACGTAATTAATCTGTCAATTATAAGTTGAGCACTGTTGGAATCTGTCTTGTTTCTCCTTTAGTTGTCAGTATTATATATTTCCTGGAAAGAAAACAAAAAATGCACAAGGCAAACCCTAATAAACATCTTTTATTGGCACAAGAAATAAGGCAATGAGTGGAATGAGCTTAAAAGAAGGGAGACAAGGCGGCGAAGACTATAAAGAAGATAAGATACTGCAAGGCTTATGTGACACTTAATCAGGCTTCTCTATGATTCGCAAGAGGCCAAGAGAGTTCCTCAAGAGTGAAAAGGGATGGTTGATAAGGTAGATTAGACGTGCGACACAAGATGCAACGTTGATTATGGCAGCTTCATCACATCAGCAATGGTGAGCGAAGGTGGGTGGTTGTCACCTATAGCCTAATGTTCTTCATCTCTGATGGAGTTATTTCCTCGAGGGTAGCTCAAACATTATGCATTCAGCCAGTGAGAGAACAATATAGGAGCATGCATGGAGTCAATGACCTAAGTAGTTCGATTATTTGAATCAGCATTGTAAATCATAGATTAAATAAAGATATTATCTCATGATGTTGAATTTGCTGATCATTGGCCAACTTCTTAGTGGGAGGAAGTTTTTTCTAGGAATTAATGTTGATGTAAGAAATTAGCAGATTACTACCATGCTTGTGATCATTGGCCTGAAGAATGAGAGAACAAAAGAACAATGTTGAAGGCTTATCCTTTAGTGAGAGAAAGAAGCCCTGTGCAAAAGGAAATGAACTCCAAAAATTGAATATAAGCTCAGTTCCTTTGTCAAGCAGCAAGACAAAGCTAAGGATGTGAACTCTCTTAAAAGATACAAACTTTTTTAAGGTTCCAAGAACAATCGAACTGGAACCTTTTATTAGATCCAGCCTTCAAGAAGATGAAGAAGGATTTCGCACCATAATAAAATTAAAGGATAATTTGATTCGACCTGCTACGTATGCGTGATCGAAGTCAGGCGATCTTAATTATCACAACCTGTGTGTTAGATGTGAGCTGATCTACTATCGGTGATGAGAGAACCAAAAATATATATCAGTAAATCATGTCTTATTTAATGATACGACACAGCTATTTGTAGAATGATGCTCAAAAAACCAATTTAAGATAACCTACGTGACTCATTTTGCTTTCTTTAATCTTCTAAACCTAAAAGTTCATCCATATATATAGAGAAAGAGAGAGGGGTCTGAGCCCAACTCACAACCAAAGCAGACCAACCTAACTCCCTCAAGTATTTCTCATCCATACCTCCTCTGTTTGTGTGCGCATCTGTGCTTCTCTCGCCAGAGAGATAGCGAAGTACAGAGAGAGCCCAGTATGTCAGGGATCAAGTGCACGTCCAAGAACAGCAGCAGCAGCAGCTCGAGGAAGAAGCTGTTGGGATTCCACGTGTCTGAGGAAGAGAAGACCCGGCTCAGGTCGGAGTCGTATTCGTCATCGACAAGCACCATGGCCACAGCCCCCGCGTACGGTGGCGGCGACGGCTATGGCGCAGACGTGCGGAAGTACCAGTGCCAGTACTGCCGCCGCGAGTTCGCCAACTCGCAGGCCTTGGGCGGCCACCAGAACGCGCACAAGAAGGAGCGGCAACAGCTGAATCGCGCCCACATGCACCACCACGGAGGCGGCTTCTGGGCGCCTACCGGCCAGATGTGCCCGGCGAACCCCATGGTGTCCGCCATCGCGCCGCAGCCCCATCTCCTCCCGGTCCCCGCCGGGTGGGTGTGCATCTCACGGCCGCCGCCCTTCCACGTGTCGCATGCATGCGCCGTTCCCTCTTCGTCCGTCCCTCCGATTGTTCCTCCTGCTGTCCCGTACTCCACCGCCGGTGGCGGCGCGCGGTTGTTGGAGCAGGACGCAGGCTTGTTCACGAGGTTCTCTGCGACAGTTCCCGTCACGAAGCGCAAGGACTCGTCGGACTCGGGCGAGTCGTCCGGGTTGGACCTCCAGCTCAGGCTAGCTCCCACCGGGTCGTGACTCAACCCAGCTATTACCATGCATGACTCGGATCTCATAGTATGAGGACGTCCAGCTATCTATCTATCTTTCAGCTTATATTTTCCTTCTCTTTTGTTGTGTTTGATATCAGCATCAATTTCCTTAGATACATATGGTTTACGTTGATGACATAGTAGCATCATTATGTGATAGAATAAAGAAGCAGGATTATTCTTTCCTGCTACAATGCATCGGGCTACTGTGCTTTATGCTTCGAGACTTGCTAGGAGGACTATAGTTCCAAAGTTTGATTGGGGTTGTCATTTCACAGAGTGTCGTATCTGCCTATTTCCACCGAATGTACTTTCATGGCTTGGATGGCTCGAAGCTCAAAACAAGTGTCTTAGATATGCTGCCATCTGTTGCCATCTTGTGGGTGTGGACGGAGGCTATGCAATGGGAAATCGGGACGTGGGACTCGGACGCACTCAATGATGCAAGATGATGTAATGGAAGCTATGGGTGTCCCAACCCACCTGTAAACCTATTCCCATTGTGATGGTGGTGAAGAAGCCCTAATGCCACTAGCCTTGCTTCGTTTGCAACATTGATAAGGAAGACATCTAATACGTGATTTATGTTCACTCCCAGAACAAAACACCTCTCCACGGAAGACATTGGCACTTCCCCATCAACAGACCCACTCGGAAGGCATCACCTGTCGTGCTATCCACACAAGCCAAGACGTAAATTACGAAGACCGAGCCAATACCTATCTGACATATGCTCAACCTTTTAGCATGATGACAAGCCTCGTTGGTCTACCGAATAATATTTTTACTAGTGCAGACTCACTCACTCCATTTTCATGATTCCAACAAATCAGAGAGTTTATCTAGCAACGTGAATCATCGACTTCGATTCGATTCCTTTGATCTACCTGTCAAACGAGTAAGCAGCAGACTTCGGTGCTCCCCCCCTTCCCATGATTCATTCATTGCGCACCAAATCAAACAAAGGAAATAAAGCTGTCGAGGGTATCGTCGTCACTCTCGCTTTATGGCTCGATTCCACCTTAACGACGGAAAATACGAAGCAATCGCTAGCTTTATTGCAAGGCTAGTGCGATCCAACTCCACCACGTCCTCCCTTGACCTTCCAAAGTCAACGCAGTAGTCAACCCCATGTTTATCCCTGATTCATCCCCCGTCGATGGTCAACGTCAAAACTGTCTCGTGCTTCTTCTTGGGATTGTTTATACGTAGATTCTCTGTATTATGAATCCGTGGAATTTGAGCCCAACATTATTAATATTCACATTCCGACATCATTTTATTAATGATTCATGCACAATCCAAATGGAATGTGGTACACATAAAAGGAATCCAGCTCAAGCTATTCAGGAACACCCAGCACCACTAGAAAAAAGAAATCATTTCATTCACCCCCTTCCCATGATTCGTTTCATTTAGAGACAAATTGTACATGCCAAAAGAGAAATTTGGAAACACCTTCAATGGAATTTTCCACCAATTAATTACCCCAACCCTTTTCCATGGTGCCGATCTCAACGCCAAATCTTGCTTCTTCCATGTCTTATGAATTGAGCAAAGAAGGTACTGCCAAAACACACAGACAAAGGACGGGGGGGGTATTAAAACTATGAAGCAACCAAACTCGAGACACATTTATTCCTGCAATTATACGACCCCTGGAAAGAAACTGCCCACCATGCTAAGTATTATTAGCTCATACATAAATAAACTAATCTGGGTGGCATCAATAATTGTTTCCAGATCTGTAGCTACAAATTAGAAGCAGGGGATGCTTTCAAACACAACACACCACAATGACAGTGCAACCGAATTCCCTCACCTTTTGCGAGTAAAAGAATTAGCCAAAAGGCTCTTTTGGATTGCTTACTGTTCGAACCGAATTGCCGTGTGAGGCAAATCGAGAATCTTTGGTTGACTGATTCACGTCACCGCAGGTATACTTACCTCCCGCAAAAGGCTACTCCGGGACCCGATACGAGTCGACGGTGACCTCCGACAGCCATGCGCCGGGAAACAGACCCTGTTATCAGGAGACGAAGAACGACACCATAAGAAATGAGATCGAAGCTTTTCCGGCAAACTAGGGTTTTCGGGTGGAGAGGTAGCGAGAAACGATGGGGGGGATGGGGTGAGGAGACTCACGTCGAGCTGCTTTTGGACGACTCGGGGCCGCTTTCGGGGCCGGCGGCGAGCCCTGCATCCGGTCACCGCGTAGATGTCCTCCTCGATCTCCTCCCTCGAGAGAGAGATCGAGAACCTGGGACGGTCCGACTCCGCCGGCCTCGCCCGTGCCGCCCTCCTCTCTACCGCGGGCGACGGTGACCCCCCAAGATGCTGCTCAATTTCTGTCGGAACCCTGGGCCGCCCCCGCCGAGCCCTCAGGTTCCACGGCCTCCCGTCCTTGGGTTGTTGCGACGGGAGAGGCGGTGAGGGGACCACGAACTTCATCCGGTCCGCCGCCTCCCGGAGGTGAACCAAGAGCTTCTCCCTCACCTGATCGAGCCCCGCGTCGTCACCGCACGCTGGGTTCCTCATGGACGCCCCCTCCGCCTCCGCAACGGCGGTCTTGCCCTTGCCGCTCGCGTTTACGAAGGGGAGGAGCCGCTGGCTTCCCCACGTCTTGAACAAGGCGCAAGGCGGCGTCGCGGCCGCCGTCGCGGAATCTGGCGGCCGGGAGGCGGTCTCGGCAGAGATCATCGCTCTCGGCTGGTGGGCGGTGACAGGATCCGGTTCTCGCGGGGTCGGGACACCGCCAGTGGGGAGAAGAGGAAGGGTGTAGCTAATTAACGTTCGCCTCGGGGTTGTGGCCGGTGAGGAGACTCCCGATTCAAGGGTTCCAAGTGGGCCACTCAAAATATATATATATATATATATATATATATATATATATATATATAATCTTCGAAATAAAATTTAATTTTTAGAATATCATGTAAAACACTCATAATCACATGAAAAGATGACTTTACCCCCTTCTTTCATTGGATCAACCTTTGCTCGTCAGCCACTCTTAATTTTAAGAAGTTCCTTCGTCAAAACTACTAAGTGACGGAGGTATAGTCTTAGTGGCTCTCCTTTTTTGTCTAGTGTGATATCTTCTTTGCCTAGTGACGGAGGTATAGCCTGACGAGGAAGAAAGGGGGTGCATCCTCGTCGTCGGTCACAAGCGAGAAACGAGAGGGAACCACAAAGGGGACGATAAAATGAAGATAACTGAGGCAAAAGTAATAGTCGATAAAGATAAAATAATCATTTTGAAAAGTAAAGATGCTATGCCAAAAAAAAAAATTAAAAGTTACTGTGTTATCCAGAATATTCTCAAAGTTACAGAATTTTTTATGAGAATTCACCCGTATATATCGAATTAACTGGAAAAAAAAAGATAAAAACAGAAAAGCGTGAGGTTAACACGCGGAAGCCATTACTTGGGTCCTTTCGATCCACTATGCATGCGTACAAGAAGAATGTACACAACAAGTTGGCCACTACGTGGCATTTCATAATATGGGCCATGATGGACCTATTTAATTTATTGCCTTCACATATCATGTGACGTTCGCATGAACGATACTACGACATCATACGGGAGGATCAATATATTATTGAATCAGTATATTTTCTAGGTACAAATATAAGTTTTTTAAATAAATTTCTTACAAAAAATATTAATTTGTTTCTTTTTAATAAAGTCTCAGTTTTATTTTTATGAAATATATCTTATTTCTATAAAAAAAGATATTATCTCTAACCTTTGTTCTATTATTTCATTGCCCCCCACTACTTGTTCCTCTCATCTCTTACTCTTCGTTATTTTCACCCATTGCATGGAGATAGAAACGATAGTAAATTATGGTGAAGATGAAAGTTGAGCCCATACGAGAGAGGGAGGAAGGGAAGCCTTGTATGGCAGAAACGGAATAGCATGAAACGATACTAAATTATGGTGTTGCTCGGGTTGGGCCATGTGACGTCATCTCGATCTTTGTAGAACGACGATAGGGTGTTCAACGCCGAACGAGGTGGAGGTTGGGGGTTGTCTCGTCTAGGTATGAGGTGTCGTACTGTGTCAGCTTGTGTGGTGCCGCTCGAGTCGGTTCGTGTGACGTTGTCTTGAGCGTTGCGACACAACTCCAGGGTGTTCGGTGTCAACCTGTACGATGCTGAACAAGGTAGAGGTTGAGGGTCACTTCGTCTGAGTCTAAGGTATCATACTGTGTTAGCTCACATGGCGCCGCTCAGGTCAAGCCGTGTGACTCTATCTAAAGCTTTGCGAAACGGCTTTAGGGTGTCCAGCGCCAACCTGTACGGACCGAACAAGGTAGAGGCTAGTTGGCCGCTTTGTCCGGGTCTGAAGTGTCGCACTGCGTCAGCCCAAAGGTCCTTCACCTGCTGCCACGTGGATAGCGCCAGAAAGTGCCAGGTGGGGCGGAGGCCTTGATAAATATCCTTTCGCAAATTAATTATGATCTAAATATCCTTGTGATCACTAAATCCAACAGCAAAACCAATTACAAATTGGAAGCAGATGGATCATTGCACCCAATCTTCAATCACCATTCAACTACACCTATAAGGAATGAGCTTACGGACGGCTTACATGGGTCTTGTGGCTTTCAACCTATCACAAGTCGGGGTTTTGGATGGGTGACAACAGAGACTAATAGTCTTCACAAATCAAATCATTTATAAGGTAATGGGAAGATCGTCCAGGATTGGATGAACTCAAAACAATTTGGACTCTACTACCATTGTGCTACTACTAATTTAATGCGTCAGTAGTACATTACAGCACTCAATAACTTGTTACAACATATTCTCATGATATGACTCAAACAACGATGGATACGAGTTGCGGCACGGAGGCCTCATGGTACTATGGAACACGAAACCTGTTGACTCGGTCTCGTCTCACATGCAGCGTAGTACATGCTAAGAGAGGCAGTACGTAGTACGTGGGTGTTCCTAAGTCTCTGATTACGGGTGCTGGTTTCTCCTAACCTAGCTTGTCTTTTTATCTTTAATCTACATCAATAGAACCTTCTATTTCATCTTGCACATTATTTCTTTACTGCTGATGGAATCTAATGACAGATGGAAATCCTTCCGATTAGGAAAGCCATGAGCGCAGTTGGTATTTTCCATCTTGTTCATGCATCAGAATTATGACATCAGAAGCCAAGTGGAGTCACAAGAAATGTTGTGCCCAAACATAAAGGAACAATAAAATACCAAAAGCAAGTCCAGAAATGATTTCTTTTTGGGGCTCCGCCCACAGCGCCGCGCAAACCACACGCGGGTTTAAACACGTCTCTCTCTCTCTCTCTCTCTCTCTCTCTCTCTCTCTCACTTCTTCTGGTTGATTTATAACAACTTGTAGAAAGCATATTGATAAGGCAATGTTCTCCGTATCATTGCGACGTATATTGAAGGCAAATGAGACCAGTGGCTAGGATTTTAATCCGAGGTGAAGAATCCAAGGTAGAGATGGAGTCAACGTTTGGGTCAATGGATTTTCGAAACAATGCTATGCTCGGTCAAACCAAGGTTTTGTGGGTGATTAGATTCTGAGTCCTCCAAGTTGCAATACTTAATTTAGAAGTTTTTGCGATTCTTCTATATATGTATAGGGAAGTAGTAATCAAGAAGGTGCATATTCTTGTATTATAGTCTACGAACTCCAACAGCAAGATGGAGTAGGAAACCGCTTTCCCACTCTTCTCCAAACTGCTGGCTTTGCCACCCTCTCTCGGCCTTATAACATATCCCCATTGCTTCCCTTCTTCTCCGTACTGCTCTCCTTCCTTCTAACACTACTGTGTTGTTCCCGATCTGATCGGCATCGAGGCAAGGTGAAGATGAGTTGCAATGGGTGTCGGGTCCTCCGGAAAGGGTGCAGCGATGGCTGCACCATCCGCCCTTGCCTTCAGTGGATAAGGAGCCCCGAAGCCCAGGCAAACGCCACCGTCTTCCTCGCCAAGTTCTACGGCCGTGCCGGCCTCATCAACCTCATCAACGCCGGTCCTCCTCATCTACGCCCTGGTACGCATCTAGCGTTGCCGTCTCTTCCGCACGGACAGATGCCATGCATGCACGTCACGGAAAGGGTTGAATTATGTGTTTCTTGTCGTGGTGGTTCGGCTTCCTTCAGCTATTTACCGGTCGCTGTTATACGAGGCCTGCGGGAGGATTATTGACCCCGTCTACGGCTCCGTCGGCTTGCTCTGGTCCGGCAGCTGGCGGGTCTGCCAGGCCGCCGTCGAGTCCGTGCTGCTGAGGGGCGAGCCAGCCACCCGTTTCCCAGCTGACGCGACCGACCCCAAGCCGCACGACATCCGCTGCATGACAAGGATCCCCTCTGACATCGGCGCCGGGGCCAACTGCGACCTCCACAAGGCGACGGCCAACTCCCGGGTCCGGTTCAAGCGCTCCGCTAACGCCCTGAGGCCACCCTCCTCGCCAAGTTCTGACCCGTTCGCTGAGGGGATGCATCAGACCGAGGCGGAGGGAAAGCTGCCGGAAGAGACGGTGCAGGAGGACGATGCTGATGAGCTGGACCTCACTCTTGGGTTCGAACCGGCAGCACGGGGAGCAGCCGGTGGACGTGGACCAGTAATACGACAGAACGGGGAGGGGACGGCCTGGTTCTCCGAGGGGTGTCCGGAGGATCTGCGGCTGAGACTGCGTTGAGAGTCACGCAACAGTCGTAGATCACAATCATATCTTGATGTTCTAATGGGTTTTGGTTTCTTTGTGCTACAAGTATAAGAAGAAGATGCATGTTCATGCTTAATAACATTTCCTGTTATGTTATCTTTGTGTGCTTCCCTACAATTAGTTGCACGATTCCAACATCTTTCCATATGGGGGTATGTATGTAGGTGTGATTTGTATAGCTTTATCATTATTAGCTGGAAATATTATCTCATCGCATGTGGCTTTAAAATATGTTATATATATATATATATTTATTATCTGACACATGATATGGGAAAGACAGGTTGACCCTCAACTAGCTTGCTTGTGTGTATAAGTATCTATACATATTATCTTTTTTTTTTTTTATAGATTATATGGAGAAAAAGTAGAGGATGTTATTAGAGACGATTGAGGACTACTTCCTCATAGAATATTTTATCCTTTTATGATTAGATATAAAAATTTACTTTTAATGTAGTTGCAAATAATAAATTTATCTTAAGTTATTAATTTGAATGTCGCAGGGATTAAGTTAGAAAACAAACCTCTCTCGATGATTATTTTCATACATATGACACTTCAAAAGTACAACTTACATCCATAAGAAAGTTTGATTTTTTTTTCATTTTAGTTAGATAATCTTAGTATAACTTACACAATCTAAATAGACCAAAAACGTCTTCTTTTACCATTTTGGTTGATGAAAATAAGAAAGTTCGATTTCTCTAATGCCACAACTTGAAAAGGATTCATTGTACATCCATCCTCGCAAGGAATGACGTGATGGAATATAAAACAACAATGTCAGTGTGAAAGATTAATTCAAGAAGAAGGCGTGTGGTCACAACAAGCAACATCTTATATTGCACAGCCTCATTCATTAGAAACTAATAAGATTTACTCACAACATGTTTGAGATGTTAAAACATGGTATGCACTCAGTGCATGACTTCAAAATAGCTTTCATTTAATCGAACTAATTAAGAGTCATCCATCTCCATCGTGGTATAACTTAGGATAATAATAATAATAATAAGACAATCGAGAAGTATAATTTTAGTTAAAATCTAATTTAATTTGTAATCTATCTTTATCGGACCAAATCTTAATGGTAAAACATGGTCTATCTTATAGTGTTGTTATAATCGGAGGAGAAAAATAATTTTGATTGGATGAGAAAACATTTTATTAAGAATTATTTCGTGTGATCGTTCAAAAGATTGTATCGGGAGTAAACCCAACATGATTCTAACCATCTAGTTTTGATTTTTTTTTATTATAAGACAAATATATGCGATAGAAACTTAAGAGCTGAAGTTCACTTCAGTGAGTCAATAATATATACTATCATATTTCCTCATGTGTTATGTTTATATACCATATGTCCAATGACCTAACAAGCATACAAAATATTCCCTCAAGTGTGATATTGATGTGTCACGTCCAAGAGGTTATTATTCCCTTAGCCAGGTCAGGTCAGGTGGGCATTTAGTAAGGTTAAATGATGGAGTTGAATAGAGAATAATGCCATCGTTGGTTGGATCATACAAGATTTTATTATTGTCTTGAACAAAAGAGTCCGTGACACATTATTTATTGGGTCAGAGGAAGAAGAAGAAGAAGAGAAGGGGAGAGTAAGTATTTAATGTGGCAGGACCATTTGTTAGGTCTTATTCTATTAGGTACAGCACATGCTTCATCAGAAAGGTAGGTTGGATGCATCACATAGTTGGATCGAGGAAATAATGAATTCTTGATATGTTAGTGGTGTATGAAGTCCATTCATTAAAGGATCAACTATTCTAATTGGTAAAAATTTAGTTAAATTATCATAAGCTCCTGAAATCAAATTTCTCTTTCACCAAAAAGAAAATAATTTATTATTATTAGAAAGTATATATTGTTTAGTTCTGTACATGGAATTCTCAACATTAACTCATGCCTTGGTAAGCGATGATCGTAAGTAACGAGCGTGTGCTAGCCATGCCACTGTTCCACATGCATGCTGTCACTCCATTAATATGATATGTCAACCTTGCTCGGGTACGTATATATTTGCTTCGTCGTACGACTAATATAGGGTGTTGTTGGGTCAACGAATTGCAAGTGTCGGATGATACCGAATTTGGTAAGTATTTTAGGTCTAGTCAACGGTTGGATTGGTTGACATTCTGCCTTCACTGTGCGTACACACCAAGCGTGGAATGAGGAGAGCCATTTCTCTGTTGGAAAAGACTTGTAATTTTTGTTGCAGATTTGCATTAAGAACAGTGTAATTTATTCTGAAGCTAGACAACAACAATTCCTGATCACTATATTAATGCACAGTTCGTTGTAGATGACCAATTCCCGTAGCAGATTTTTGATCGAAATGACAGCCAATCGGACGAAGAAGACCAAAACTGAAGTGGATAGAGCATATGCATGTTTCAGCTAACATTGTCGTGTAAGAGATTGCAGGAAGCAAAAAGATGCTGCTTACATGCATATGGATTTGTGGAGAGGTGAAGAAGGCAGACATGAGAGAGAAGTATAGGAGGAGGAGGAGCACAAGATGGCAACGAGCGTCAGAGGGAAAGGGCCGAAGAGGAAACCACAAGGTTCCAACTTGAGGGAGAAAGGGGTGTGTGGCAGTGTCGGCTTTCAGAAGGACAGATGGTCTTTAGAGCTCAGTTTAGAATGACTATCTCGATAAGCATTGCCAGTCGCCCGGAGAGGCGAAGGCTGCCCAGCTCGTGGCTTCCTTCTGCACCCTCAAATAATTGCCGAGGTAAAACCAAATCTGTGTCCTTCGTCATGAGAACAACACCTACGCTTGATTACAATAAGACACAATCATTAGTTGTTCTTCAAATCCAATTATGTTCTCGGATCTTGATATGCCTGTGTCGAATTTGAGACAAGATGAGACATGTGACTCCACATGTAAAGCTGTGTTATGGGCCCTTTGTTATCAGGGGTTCATCACATCCATGTGGTTATCTCAGAGCCATGCATTTCGAATCAAAGGAGAAGAGAAAAGAAAGGAGAAGGCAACAAACACCGTTCTGCATGTGGTTGATACCACCAAACACACTGCTAAATGTCCAGCCCATTCTTTCTGTGACTTCAATAACTCTCCCTCTCTCTCGCTCTCTCGAGCTTTCAATAGAAGCTCGCTGCCTTATGATCGATGCCTCCAACGAGAGACAAGAAAAGGGAGAAGAGGAGAAGGCTTGGCTTCTTCTGCTTGGTGACAGTACTATACGCCATCTTCGTCTGCTTCGCCTGTGGCTACCCAGCAGTCGCGACTCCAATACTTGGTCCGAGGATCGGCACCGAAGGAGCACGGGAGAAGATGACTATGATAGGGAGAAGACCGACGCCGCCGGAAACGACTTCCAGCGTCCATGAAAGCAAGCGAAGAGTGCCAACTTGCCCCGATCCCCTTCACAACAAGTGACACTTGGTTCTTCTCTTTAATTACTTTTTACTGTGAAGGACGCAACTCGGACACGACATTACATTCGCTTTTTTGCATTTATGATATCGGTGCTTGACCTTACTCGGACTCGTCACATGATCACAAGCATAGAGCACCATATGTTCATATATACCTACAGCAATTAGCTGCAAGCGCAGAGCAGAGCGTCGTCCCAAGTTTCAAGGAGGGGGGAGGGAAAGCCCTATCTAAGGTTCATGGCACTGTTTGAAAGGTAGGAAGGTTCTTCGCGGAAGGTATCTACTCACTGTCACATGATGACTAAAAGGGAGCAAGTTGGTCCTCCTCCTTGTCGCCACTTCGCCTCCGATACCTTTCAAGACTACTACAAGATTAGGTTTTCTTTAAGCTCTTCGCCATGTGAAACCGTTATGTGATTTTGTTATTCTTAAGTGGTCTTGGGCTAATTCTTGGGCTGCGTTCGAGCCCATCTCTACTTTAGGGCCGAGTTGTCGGCGAGCGTTGCATAAAAACCCTATCGCCGCCTCTCCCTTCCTACCGTCTCCATCGTTTCGCTCTACGAGGAGAAGCGGCGCGGCGGCTGAGTAAAACGCATTCTCGCCTCTTCTACCTATTTTATGCGATGGTAATATTGGCTTTTGCTATTATTGGGATAAAGTTGAGTTACGAACCCTAACCGGATTCAATGTTTCTGTTCGAGCTTTGTCGATATTGAGTCATCGAGGTAGAATTTAGGATATGTGGATGGTGGTACGAAATCGCTCCTGTGATGAATGAATCTTCTATCGTTCCAATTCCTGAATGCAGCGCCTAAATGCTGTGCTTTGTGTGGAGATGAAGAGACATCTGAGGGGTTTTTTGTCTGTTTTCTTTGATTTCGGATGGCAATATCTGAGGCCAAAACAGGGTTTTTGTTTTTTCTCGTTGATCCGCAAATTACAATCTTCTTTCTTTACCAATGGACAGCCCGAATTGGGGAAGGATTCGCGCCCAGAGATGGTTGTCAGCAGGCAAATCAAAAGCACAATTGGCTGGATATTGCCATGCAATTACATCTTGCACACTTACTGACATGATGAGAATTCAAGCAGCAGTCACTCACTTCTCCCAATTTACAACGCCGTGAAGTGCTGCGCTGTTTGAAGAGGGGAATGTTGCGGATGCAGATGGAATCAGCTTCATCGCACCCAAGATAGAGAGTTTGCAAATCATATATCCTGTCCATAACGAGATCTGCCGATCGATCAGCTAAACGAATCGAAGATATCAAAGTTCTACCTTGCGCAGCCAAAGTGCCACCATCTAAGCAGGAGAAAAGCCCCAAAGTCTGATTGTGCCATCCTTGTATCCAGAATACAGCGTGAGGCCATTAGTGCTCCAGGTTAAGCTGGTGCAGAAGGGTCTCTGCCAGCATCGCGCCATCAAAAAGAAAGCCATTAGATGCAGCAACAGTGAACACTTGTCTGTAGATCAAGATGAATTACCATCACTAGATTTTTAATGTTCAGATGGTCAATTCTGCAATCTAATTTATATTTTCTTGATCTACCTTTTGGTTTGGAATTCGGTAACACTTACTGAAAGCACAATTCGTAAAGGCATTAAATGAGTGATGAAGACAGAGGCTGGTACATTATTGTATATCATCAGCAAGATCAAGAATCGGTTAATTCCATGCATAAATCAGCACAAAAGTCTTTATAGACATCGCTTATCGGAGGAACCAAATGCTTTATGCATGTAAACGAACAGCTGATCGCTAAATTTGGAGAAGGGCAAACATATCAAGTACCAGTCGAGGACCTTTTTCCTGCCGACGGCCGTCTCCGGCTTGAGAACCTGGAGCAGAGTCTTCTCGGCGAGGTCCCAGATACGGAAGTCGTTCTCCGACGCGACGCACAGCCTGTACCAGCGGGGGCTGAAGCAAATCGCGTGGATGATGGAGCCGGCGTTGAACTCGTGGACCTTCGCCCCGATGGCGAGCTCCCATAGTAGGACGAGGGTGTCCTTGCCGCCGCTCGCGCACATTGTGCCGTCGGGGGTGACAGCCACGGCGTTGACGTAGCCGGTGTGGCCGACCAGCGTGTACATGAGCTTGCGGTTGGTGAAGTTCCACACCTTGACTGTCCGATCCCAGGAGTCGGACACGAGGACCAGTTTGTGGAAGTTGGGGCTGAAACGGACGCAGCTGACCCACTCGGTGTGGGCGTCGGCACCCTCAATCGTGCACTTGCACTCGCCGAGCGAATTCCAGACCTTGATGATGCGGTCGCGCCCCCCCGAGACGATCTGGCGGTTGTCGGGGGAGATGGTGACCGAGAGGACATCCTTTGTGTGACCCACGAAGCGCGAGGTGATGGAACCGGTGGCGACATCCCGGAAGCGGACGTCGCCGTCCCAGGAGGCTGAGAAGGCCAACTGGCCATCGCTGTTGAGGACCACGTCCTCGACGAAATGTGAATGTCCCGTGAGTCGGCGGTGTGGGACGACGGTGACGTCGTCCTTGATTTTCCAGATGAGGACGGACTTGTCGCAGGAGGAGGAGACGACGATGGGGGAGTAATAAGCGGAGACGGCGATCGCCGTCACCATGTCCGTGTGGCCCGCGAGCGTGTCGCTGAGAACGGCAATCTGTGCCATCGGAATATTACCGTTAGAACGGTGGGCGGGAGCTCTGTGATGGGTGAAGGAGGCAGGAGAGGAGGTGGCGATCAAATTTCTGGTGGCGCGCCTTCAGGGCTCTTAAATATAGCAGCGACGGGTGGGCTTTATATCGACGAGAGCCGTATGATTTGCATGGACTTGATCGATCCAAAGCCCGGATGGAGTTCTAGAGAGTTCTAGATGATCCATCAATCTTCTAGAATGTTCAACTGCTATGTGACCAGCACATCCCATCCCGTCGTCTGTTCAAGCACAGAGCACCACCAGCAGCGCCACCGTGGGCAAGCTCAACGCCACCATCGCCATGCATGCCAACCACATGCAAGGCCTGCAGTTCAGCAGCAACCCCTGCACCATCCCCACCGCCTCTCCCTCTCCATCCACCCCGACGGTTCCTCGTACTTCTCCTCCGCCATCTTCAGCACGTATATCCTCTTCCGCAGCACGACCATGTTCTCGCCCACGTTGTCGGTATCCTTACTACAACCAGAAACGACCACGATTGATGATCTCCTCTTCTCATGGAGGTGGGGTCTTTCAAGGGAAGAATTTAGCGAAGACAAAGGCAAGGAAGCGAGCGAGGAAGAGGAGGCCGCCATTGCTTGTGATCAAAGGTGGCAATCTTCCGCCTTTGAAGCAACAGATCCGGGTAAGAAGATAAACGAGGAATGGATATGTCACGCCCATGTTGCGTATCTCATTGCGTTCCCTTGCCGTGTGCTTGTAGTTTGTGACGGTGTGGTGCACGCCTGCGTATACTATCTTTCTTGTCGTAAAACATGGATATTGGAATTCCTGTACTTTCAAGATTCCAAGATCGTAAGCACAAGAAGACGACTGTGTCTTGCAGTGGCGCACGCTGCATGATAACAGGGCAGAAGAAAGCTGCTTTTTATTGGTGGTGGAACGTTCAAAGTCCAAAGGGAGACGTGCTGCGCCGTCTACATATCTTTTGCTTGTTTATTGTTGTTATACTAAGAAAACTAATACTTAATGAGTACTAACCCAACAATGGGATGCATCTAAGTTTGTCAGTATGGTGAATGATTTGCTCTAAGAAGTAGGAAATAAAAGAGGTGTGCACGCGTTAATGAGTAATGTGATGCAGAAAATATTTTCGAATGGAGCAGCTAAGCTTAGTGTGGTCCTCAAACTATGGAAGTTTGGAGCTAAGCCAATCGAATTTAATGATGCATGTCAGCCAAACTCATCAGACAAGAGGAAGCTCAACAACGCAGCAGAATGAACTCTTCATCACACAAGTCCACGATGAGAGTGGGCAACCCAACCGCATCAACTTTCCACCATAATGCATGCAATGGCGCAGTTTGTGACTTTGGTGATCTCCCCTGTCCTAACACACCATTTTGCTTAACAAACCTTTGGTTAATTTTGACTAATTAGATAGCCTAAAAAACATCATGCGACCAAGGAATGACTTTGACTAACTGGATCTTTATTTGAAGTGTCAAATCCATCGTAGAATTTTGCACTGTTGTAGCTAATTACAACAGTGTTTGGAATCTTTGGCATACCCAAAGCATGCATGACATGAAAGGGAACTTTTTGAATTGGAAATTGCTGGTTGGGGTACTTTACGAACACCTTCACCCCACTCCATCTCTTGCTTCCAGCACAAATACCCCCCCTGCCTCTTCCTCTGTTGCCTCCTCTTCTCAGGTTTCTCTTTCTTCATCCAAATCCCACCTTCTAAGCCTTCTCCTCCTTCCCTTCTCCTACTCGGGTTTTCCTTGGCCTATTTCTCTCTCTCGAGGGAGGGAAGAGCGAGTGCCTTCGGAAGCCGCAGGAAAGCTGCCACCTTTCGCCGTTAGCCATTCCGGCTTGCTCCTATTTCGCCAAGGTTCTTGCTTTCTCCATTCTTTCCATATGGTTTCTTCTTTGTAGTGGCCTATCTGTGTTTGCTTTTGTGATTGCTATGAAAGCTTGGTTTAATTCCTGCCGTCTATGTTGATAAAGGCGGCATCTTTCTCTGTTTATGGTTTGCCTGTGCGTAGATCTTATGGTTTCGTATTTTGCTAATGAAATCACACGCTTTTAGTGCTGTAATCAGGTTTTGATTAAGCTCGGCGTACTTTATCTGCTTCGATAATGGCATTTTGTCGTTCTTGCAGCTTAATTCTTCACGGTAGAGCAGATCGCTTTCCTCAAACAGGTCCCTTTTAACCTTGGTAACTTTCTTTCGATATGCGAAGCTATGGTTATTGTATTTCTTCATCCTCATCACATTTTAGATTCCAGAACAATGGGAGACCATCTTGCTCTGCTTGTGGACCATTTGCTCACCGAGTCGACGCTTGAGGCTGCAATTGGAAACGGGAAACAAGCCCAAATAGCTGCCGATTCTGCCTCATCGGGTGACCTTGGCAGTAATTCTACCCCGGATACGTCTGTTGGGCACCGGACACCCTCAGGGAAGCTGGTGGAGTGCAGAATCTGCCAAGAGGATGACCATGATTCCAACATGGAGATCCCTTGCTCATGCTGTGGCAGCTTGAAGGTGAACTGCAAATTCCTAATTTGCCTTAAAGATCATTCTTCAAGACTAATTCCTAATCAAATAGATGATCTTCTCATTGTACCCAGTCCATAGAGTCTCCTTGTCATGATACATCTTTGAGATCCGTCTTCCTGGTAGATCATCACAGGGCTGCTGCTTTGTACCTTGCTTTTCACAACACAATCTGTGAAACTTTGCGCTCTCTCCCTCCTTCACATGCACTTTTCCTTTCCGAAATAAAATGACATCCAACTTGTGAGTAATCTTATCCGGCCGAGTAAATAGTGATGCAGTGAAGAGGATGCACAATTAGTGTTGAAAATAGCAGCATCATTTACCCGTCCATGGACATCCATAAACATATTCCAGTTTAAGCTTACATTTCAAATTCTGATGTAGATTTGGGTTTCAAATATGTAAATGTACTAAGTGAGTTCCCTCGAAATGATCACTGAATTAACTGTCAAGTTTAACTAGGAGAACTACACATAGAGCTACATTGAGCAAAGACACTAGCAATTCATTTTTATTAGGATACACTTATTATTAGACAACTTGATCAGTATTTTCAGGTGAACTTTGGAAAGTATCACTTTTAGTGGAGTCTAGTTTGCATTTTCAGCACCACAACACTGCTTCTGATGCCATTTCAAGGTTGTAATTTACTCCAGCAAAAAATCATCAAATCTTATAATAGGATAATTGAATTATATCTGCTTTTTGCTTGCAGTATGCTCATCGGGTATGCATTCAGCGGTGGTGCAATGAGAAAGGAAACACAATGTGTGAGATATGCCTCCAGGTTTGTCGTCAAATTCCTGAAGTTATCTTTTAATCTCAACATGCTACTTCTTCCATGTTGATTAGTTGAGTAACATGCACACTGAAGTTAAGAGAACAGCTCAGTGGATGTAGTGTGGGCCGTCATAGGCTCATTGTTCACCTACACATGCATGTGGATGTAGCGTGGAAGCCATGTAGTCTTTTATGGAGCAGATTGTACTGTCATATATTAAACTTTCTCTGCTTATATTCAGCAATTCAAGCCAGGATATACCGCTCTGCCAAAGTTGTTTCATTATGGGAGAGCTCCGATGAACTTCAGGTATCTTCAATATGTGTGGTCGCATTTGTTGTGTAACTTATCTAGGCAATAAATCAGGCCATTCTTTCAAAGATCCTTTACTTTAGACACACTCTCAGGGGAAGCTGGGATGTATCCAGTCAGGACCTTCATGATCCCCAGATTCTAACAGTGGTTCCATCTGGTGTCATTGAGTCAAATTATTATGACCAATTAGTTTCAAGGTTAAGAAGCGCAATTTGTTGTCGGTCAGTCACCATAATCGTGAGTTCCTTTCTCGTTTGTAAGACATGTTTTTGCTTTGTAGACGCACTTTGATCTAATTAGCGATACTTCTTTTTATCCAGTTCATGATTCTTTTGGTTCTTCGCCATACTCTTCCTCTCATAATCAGTGGAGCTGAGCAGTACTCATTTACTCTATTCTCAGTAAAGCTCTAATAAAACAAACTTCCAAATGTATTTCTGTAATTGCTAGCTTCTGAAGCTCTGAATAACTTTTAAATGTTGCATATCTAAAACAAAGCTGCTGGTGTTGAGGACTGCTGGAATACTTGTACCCATCTTTTTTATTGCTGGAACATTAACAACGTTTCATCACTCCCGTCGCCGACAGGTACTTGTTCGACTTTGTGGCTACCGATATGCTTTGGAACCTAATCGTGCAATTTTCTTTCATTTTTCTTTTAATCAAGAAAGAGCTCAAATTTGCTAAATAACATTACAGGCAACTCGGCGAATATTATCTGCCTCTTCATCTCAAGCAGAGAATATGTAAATGAAGTCCTTCCATTCACATGCAGTCTCAGCCACATATCGTCCGAGCCTACCGGCACCAAACAAATTGTAGAGTTGGTGACCAATTATGTGAAGCTTCACAGTCGTAAGTGTCATAATGAAGGCAATATATGACACCAATATACCTGTAAAGAAAAGAAGTGCCAATGATAATTGAAGCTTCTCGAGGAATGTTACTTCAGAATGCGCAACATAAAACCGTTCTCTGCCTCTATAAAGGTTGCGAGGAAAAGTTCGGAACATTTCAGCACTGGAAGAATTCAGCAGCTGAACATGATACTTCACATTCATATGAAAGATGGAATTTGTGCCAGATATAATGGAAACAAATCCAAAGGTTCAACTCTGTATCAAAATGTGCATTTCACCTTGATGTTCTTCATTTGTTTGCTATAAAAGTTTCCTGAAGTTGTTTCCTGTTTAACATCGGCGGTTGGATTCTTGAAATGATGTTGCCTAAACAACCCCTCATTGTTAAGGATTTACATCATACTGGTCTTTTCCCTGTAGCCAGAAATTTCATGGTTCATAATATGCAGGTGGCTTTGAGAAATCAAGTGGAATGCTGTTGGAATGGCCCTCGAAATGGCTTCATTCTGTTAGTTTATTGATTTACATTGTTTCAGTTCAGAAAAAAAATTGAATGATTTTATTATCTACAGATTTGCAGAGAAAAAAAAAAGATCTTTTGGATAAAAAGAGATCTAAATAGGAATAGAATAAAAGCTGCCAATCAAAGATTAACCCCTGCAAAAGTTCATGCAACATTCCAACTCAGGTCAGCAGATCACAGCACACGCGAGCAAATGAACCGAAACCTCCTCCCCGCTACATTCCAAAACCAAACGACGACGAAGAAGAGAAGAAAGCCATCGAGAATCTTCATTTCCATGTCCATCATCTCCATCCTGATGGATCGAGGCCTCACCTGCATCTCCAACGAAGACCTCCACAAACTTCGCTTTCTTCCTCGTCGCTGCAACCCCTGCCCAAAGATATACAAGCGATTTAGTCAGATCCTTCAGAGCTCAGCAAATTGTTATGCACTTCCATTATAAGATGGTTCACTGGAAGCAGCTCAGCTGCTGATTACTGGAAGTGTAAACAAGAATCATTCTGCTGCAATTTTCATTCATGGACTTGCTTATTCTGAGTGAGTACATTTTTCCAATGGAGTCAATGAATTACTACAAGAAACACAGGTAAAGGCAGGATTCTCATGCAATCTCTCTAAATCTAGTGTTTGATGGACCGAAGTACTCCTGATAAGATACTCCTAAACCTACGCACATCGAGCTTTACCTTTTGCTGGTTCAGAAATATGTTCCAGAATGCATTGAATCCTTGTTGCTTCTGAATCGAAAGGGGGTCCCTGAACAAAACATCATCCCTGGGGTACTTCTCTATCAGGGAGCTCTCCTCCACTCTTATCTCGTACTCCACGTATCTTATTCCCATGTCCGGAGCTGGCTCCTCGAAGATGTATCTGCACCCTTTCGCCAGATCACAGCAAGGAATGATCTGAACCAGTGTCGCATTCGAAGGAAGGAAGACCATGTTCGTGAGCCCAGCCCCGTGGATCCCCATCAACACATCCACCGAGTTCACCATCTGCGCGAAGCGGGAGATGTTCTTCGTCTCCTCAGGCCCGGCCGTGATCAGCTTGAACCCGAGCCCTTTCACCATCCTCATCACCTGCCTTTCGTTGACGAAGGACCGCGATCCTCTCCGAAGAATTAGCAGCAATCTTGGTTTCCTCCTCGACTGCAGGTCGATCCCCTCGCTGTACTTTCTCTTGAGCGAGAAGCACTTCCTCAGGAAGTCTCTGAAGTCGCTCATGGAGATCCCGTTTGGAGATTTCGAGGCATCGATGCCCAGCGCTCTGTGGCTGTGAAGACCCACGTGTGCATGGGGGAAGCAATGAACTCGATCGTCAGCGTCCAAGTTGATGGCCGGGTAGTGGGAGAGGTGCCTCAGGATCTGCTGATACTTAGCCATGAACTGGTAGTTGAAGTCGGTGACGACGAGCTGAACCTCTCCGTTGAATCGGCGAGCCATCATGAAGAGGGGGATGATCACATCGGTGAAGTCGTGGAAGTAGTTGCCGACGAACCCACCAGTGGAGAAGAACACGGCGGGGACGCCGTGGTTTATCATGCAGCGAGGGGCCTTCTCAGGCTCAGCTGCTACTGTCACGGTGAGCTCCTTGATAAGCTCCATGGTCGATTCCCACTTCCTCGGATACGGTCTGATCTTCCATGTCGTGTTCTCTGTCGGAGATCGATCCGAAGGTGGCGAAGCCAACATGATGATGGATGATCTGCCAAGAACTCTAACATCGCCATCCATCGAGCAGATATCTGATCTTGGTGCCGTGAAATCACACACCACTCTGCTCTCCTTGATCAATCTCTCTGCATTAGAACAGAGGAAACCGTGATGCCACTCCTTGATCAGAAGATTTACCAACAAGAAACACTCAAGAGTCATGATTGATAGTTTAAATTAATATTAGCAGCATCACACAACAGACGATTTTATATTGGTAATTCTCTTAATATTGCCAGCCATCACAGAGCACAAACCTGCTGTTGTCTCTTCTTCTCTCTGCTTTTCCTTCGGAACAGGAGGCAATTTTATCACTGTCCAATCTGTGTAGATGTTAGTATAGATTTTACTGACATAACATGATACAGATGTGTATAAATTATGCTCAATTTACAGCAAAGGGATCACACTAACCTTTATTTGAGTCACCACCACCATGCTTGTCTTCATGCTGAAGTTGCAGTGTCACTGTTTGATTGCCTGCAGAAATAACTTTACAGGCTTATTCTTTACCACCGTAGATATGTCAACTCCTGAAGACGAAGTGAAATGTTTGCACCCACCACCTGTAGCCGGTTCATCCAACTCCTTATCTTCCATTGTTGTCGAGGTTAAGCTTGTTGCTGCATCTGCATCTAATGCACCATAGACAGAATCAACCAACTTGCCGATTGGTCGATGACCTATTTCGGTGTAATGAATTGTTGCTTTACCTTCATGTGCTTCTTTCTCATCTTGCTTTTCCTTCAGTGCATGTGGAAGTATTGCTGCTTCTTTACCTGCCGTTCAAGTCTAATTACTCTAAGCTGGAGATTCACCTTCACTCAATGAATACAAATAGCACTCACCTCCTTGAAGTGACTCATCGCTTAGCTGTGCTTCCTCAAATGAAGGAGGTGTACTTGGTAATCCACCTGTATCAAGTGCATCTTAGAGTAAACTCCATAGATAACTAACAACAGCCTCTATTAATACATGTACAAATAGAACTGGCAGATTTCCAGAATAAGCCCAATCCCTTTCCTACTCTAACTCTCTGCCCCAAATCTGCACCTGCTTGTTGTGCAACTCCAGCAGATGGAAATTAAGATGACCTGATCCGAGTCGCAACTCCAGCCAAACTTTATCTTCATCTTCAATCATTAAGCATGTTCCCAATTCAAAAGCAACCAAACAGGTCAACTTCTGCGAGCAGTTCCAAGTGTTCAAACCTTCATCTCTTAATCAACTAATAAAGGTAGCATGGAGTCATCATGCTTCGAAATCCATGTGCCATTAGTGCGTAAAGGATAGGTCACGGATTGGCATGGCCTTACTGCAAACTAGATGAGAGGAATTCTGTCGAACACCCCGCGAGTTGCACCTTTAATCCCAAGCAGAGCATGTGTAGACTCTTAATTAGAACGCTAAGCTGACGAGACTAGTGATTACATGGGTTATCTTTGCGTGCATCTTTAGATAACACAGCTAAGAAGAAGATTTCCTACAGTTCATACATATTTAGAACGCTTGCTTGCTAATGCAAGAGTTGGCGTGTAAAGTGATATGTATTATTAGACGGCTTTTGTTTCCTTTTCTGAAAGGAACATGTACAGTACAGCTGGGTTGTAGCAATCTCTTGATTCCTTCATGAAAGAGACCACCTTCTTATCTCTTGTTTGTGTGTGTGTGTGTTATATTCATATATGTATATATATAGCATTGCCTTGTGATACTGTCGCTTCGACATATACATCAATGAATAAGAAATTTGTCATGGTTATAATAGCTCAGAATGTCACGTGATAGTGACTATAATATATCTTAGTAATGTAATAATTCTTAGGTTATCGCCAAAAGCTCAAGAAAGACGTTGACTTGATAACAGGAAGATATCCAAATCCTCTTCATTGTGCTTCAAAGAAAAACCTGAACCAATCACACACCGAGGCATTTGTAGGGCAGATATATAGCTAGGGTTTGTAGCAATGACAAAGATAGTCAGCAGAAGAGGAATCTCTAGCTAGCAAACTTGTAGAAGGCATGTCTGCTGTTATATACATATTTTTTGTGGGATCTAAGTGAAGTCAAGACGCCATCCCAAGGAGTCGAATGGCTGGCAGATGGACCATTTCTCATCTTTACATTTCGACCATGCACCAAATGACGTACCACCAACATCTAATGGTGACAACTTAACTATCGCATTCAAAACACAGCGAGGGCTCAACTAGCTTTAAGATCATGGAATGTATAACCTCAAATATTGCTCTCTCTCTCTCTCTCTCTCTCTCTGTGTTCTACGTACAATGAAGAGTTCATCCTAATGGATCACCAAGGTGATGTCTTTTATTCTCTGCACTCAGAACCATGAAACATGCGCAAGATGCTTCTACCAGCTTTTTCGCTTTCAACTAGACTGCTCAACGATGCATATAAAAAATCAAATGGATTTCCATCGAGGTGCAACTTAGATTTTTTAGAACTGTTCCGACCACTGGAAATGCTAACCGCATCCATATCTCCTTATGTACTCCCAAGAAGAATCAAAAGCTATAATTTGGATCAACATATATAGATATATTTATTTATTTAGTTATTTATATATTTATATATGTCCTCTTAGATTAACATCAGATCCAAGTTCAGAGATCGTGAAGAGAAAAATGATGGCTGACCTTGTCCTCCAGTCTTCAGTTCCTCCTCCATGGGCAAAGCCATATTCGAATAGCTGGATAGCTGCAAATTCACTGCGAATTGAAACTGGGTGGTGTAATTAAACAGCAGCATATATGAAGAAGAAGAAGAAGAAGAAGAAGAAGAAGAAGAAGAAGAAGAAGAAGAAGAAGCAGCATCTGATACATAGTACATGGACTTACATGTAACGATGGTGTTAGAACCAGATTTGATGAGACAAACAAGGATCACTGTCATGATCAGAAGGCATCCGAAGAGGGCAGCCTGGCTGAGCTTCCATGGTTTCAGATGGCTAAAGCTCTCGGATCGCCTCATCTCTATCTTCTTCTCTCGAAAAGCCTGCTATGGAACTGGAAGTTGCCTCTATCTGCTTTATAAAGCTCAGTGTTGGCATGCTACACAACTTTGAACCATAGTTTATATATCCCTTCCTATGTGGTCCTCCCAATTCTGCATACTGTTCCTCAAGGGCAAAGCTGGACACACATATTCCCCAGCTCTCATCTTATGAGTTCATTGTTCCACGCTATCTCAACATTATACTTGTATCATGAGGAGGTATAGTACCCTTCAAACCAAAGCTGATGCACATGCAGAAGTATCTGTTCCTATGTATGCATCAAATAATGCGTGTATATAAATTTCAAGCAGAAAAATAGAGAACAGCCTGGAGTCTCTCAGAGAGTGGACGTCGAAGAAGACGAGCGTATTGCTTGTCAAGCAACTAATTTAGACAAAGAGATGCTACCGGATGAATTCAACAAATACTACGATTGATGTGAACTACAATAAATTAGAGAAAACAGCCAAGAAGTGAAAGTCACTGAGATGTTAATGGCTTACCTATTACATTGAAAATTCTCCAATACTGTAAGCTGTGGAAGTCTCTGCGCCGCCGGGGACGACGCCTTCTGCTGGTGGGCCAAGGAAGAGGAAGGAGCCAATGCAAAGTGGTGTTTCCTGTACGTATTTTTGTTGAGATTTATATGAATGGATGCGAGTGTATGTATATAAATTCCATTTTCAGGCTTTGAAGTCCTGTAGAGTCCTTATGTGATGAGATCTTTCAGTGTGCATGCATGCATGCATACAGAAACAAAATGTAAGGTAGATGGTAACATCCACTCTCTTTGTCTTCACTGTTGGTAGATCCCTACTTTTGTCTCCTCACAACAATTAAATACCAACAATTACTTAGTTATTATGATTAAAAATGGGCCTACTTGATCTATTACAACTTGTGTTTAAGCTGTATCAGTGATCTGTGATGTTTGGTTATCTAATTGTGTTCTCTCTTCAAGCAAAGGGGCATGGAAACCGGCCTCATGTGATTCTTCTCCCGGAAGCCAGTAGTTGACTTGGCCAGAGCCTTATTATATTTTTTGTTTTGTATCATTTATATAATTATCTTGGAATTAATGACTTTGGTATATTCTTAGTAGTCGTCATAGCCGGCAATAGTTTAATGAAGTAGTTATTATTATTATTATTATTATTATTATTATAAAACTTTATTATATATATATCGAAGATATTAGTTATCTTTATTAAAAATTATATTTTTTAATATCTAATTAAAAATTTATTTTCACCACAAATCCATTATAATGAAAATATAAGGGGAAGAAGAAGGGATTATGTTGGGCTAGACGAACCCTCTGCAGAAGCCTGTCTCGCCCATCGAAGCCCAATTACGATCCGGCAACAAAGACTACATTTGGGCCTATTTGGTCCATGGATGAGACCAACAACCCCTACCCAATCAATCAATGCAAATAAGGCATACACTGCGATTGAGACGGTGGGTCAACTGATTCGCATCGGCAAATCTCACGAGAGACATGCCCAGTCAACACATTTGATGGGGCCCAGACCACTTCCCGCTGGACCCCAGTACGAATCTCGTAAGCGCTTGGGATACTTAATGGTATACCTACACGTTGTGATGGTCTCAGCAGCAGCATTAATGTACGCTGTACAATAATTGATCGTGACTTGTCACCTCGATCACGTAATCGTCTAAATTACTGTCACTCCCCACCGACACCGCGTCCTGGCATGCGCAACTTTGTCGCCGTCCGCTCTGCCGCTGGCTTCGTCGAGATACGTGCGAGGTCTTGATGGACGGAGATGAGGACCAGTAACCATCAACCATTTTCTAGCATGCAGTTTAGTCAACTCTGGAGGAAAAGTCCAAACACGTTTCCCGAAATCTAAAGAACAATGTCACTCTCGCCCACCAAATCCTTTTCCTAGAAATATTTCGTCAACACAGGAATAACGTCATCAGAAAAGTTCTTCTCAACTGATGCGTGGTGCATCACCAGAAGAGCGCTTGAGCTCCATTATTGAGCAGGTCAGCCGTTTGCCCCCCACCCACCTTCACCCAACCCTTCTTTGAGAAGATGGGAAGTTCCTGCAGATAATTGCAGTGGCCCGAAGATACATCGGAGATGGCGAAGCATAAGAGCCCCAGCCGAGGAGAACCCCAAAGGCTCAGGTCGGCGCTGCTTGGAGGATGCTTTCTGCTGTCGATGATCCTTCTTGTGGTGTACACCAGCTATGTTGTTTCCTTCTCCAACCGTGAGTTGTTCTGATCCTGTACTCGTAGATGTTCGTGCCGTGGACTACTGAGTTCATCGTTTTACTAATTTTCCCCCAATCTTATTTGGTTGTGTAGTGACCTTCTGGCGTTCAAATCAAGCGGCTCCTCCTGTTCCCAAGGAAGAACACAAGATCACAGCTTCTGATCCAGCAGGTAAGCCTATTTTCGCTGGCCTTCTTGAATCTGAGATGATTGTTGCAGAAACTCTTCTAATCGGCCACGAATTTTCTTGCCAGTCAACATAAAAAAACACTTGCTTTTAGAGATTCGTGAACATCTACAAGCAATTCGACAGTAAGGATCAGAGAGGGCAAGAACACCTCAAAGGGAGGTCAGTAGGAAAGCAGTAGTAGA